TAAATCTTGACAAGAAGTGTTGGCAATTAACTTCAACAATGGATTTCAACAAGTGTCAGAGTGTTGCAAAAAATAATTCTAGTGATCTAAAACCCCAGAATGACCGATAATAAAATTAAATACGAGTAATATAAGGTGGGGAATTCTCAAAAATTTATATTAAAATATCAGTAAAATGTCTTTGGGAAGTGACTTGTGCTGAGAGAATTCTCAAATGAGCAGAGAACAGATACTATGCTTTGATCATAATTGAAAGTCAATTAAAATAATGCTGTAATCAGTTCATGCAAGAAAAAAAACCTTTTTTTCAGTATCTGTCTATATTTCTGAGCTGAGGTATTATGTACACTATTTACATTATTCAGCCTATTGTCCTCATCTTCGTTGCCATTTTTATCACATTTCAGCTGTTGTAAGCTCTGGCCTTCCTCAGGTGGCCGGAATGTCAAACTGAACCCTTTATTTCACTTGCTGGGGTAGACTGTTCTAGTTCCACATGCCATGTTTAATGGATGTCAGTTATCTCTTGTTAATTCACCTCTCCAAGTTCTCCATTGCCATAACCAGGTATTAAACAAACAACTCTTTGGGTGCTGTCAGTGGATCTAACTAACGCCTTTATCCATTGTGCCATGTATTTTTTTTTTTTTTTTTCCCTTATCACCATGTAGATAAATTTCATACTCCTCCCCAGACTTTTGAACGTAAATCAACGTTTATCCTTTTGTTACCTGTTTATGATTTGGTTTCTGGTTCCTTGTAAAGTTCTCATTCTTTTATTCCCTTGCATCTTAGTGGCATTACCAACTTGCTTGTGGTGAATTGATTAATAATTAAAAAAAAAAAAAAAAAAAAAAAAATTTTTTTTGAATTACACAATAAAAAACAAACAAGAATATTTTTTGTAAATAGAAAGTTTTATTTACAAAGTAAAAATTGCTTTTTTTTTTTTTTAGCACCTAAAATAAAATTTTCGTTTTTTCTTAAACAAATAAAAAACATTAAAAACAAAAACAATCTTTTATACAAATCAGATCCTCCCTAACACTTAAAATAAATTTTTTTCAAAGAGAAAAAAAAATAAAAAAAGTGCAGTGTAGGGGATGAAAGGGGGTGGGGAGATGTAGATTGGTATGGGTTAAGTTAACTGACAACAAGAACAAAAATGGGATGGCATAGTTTTTTTTTTTTTTTTTTTTGTTTGGTTGGTTGGTTGGTATTCACGAGGATACCGATGATTACTGGGAGGGTGGGGAGCAATAGTTATTTTGAGCTTTATAAATTCCTAATAATTTTTTCTGAAGATAACAGATCATCAGACAAAATAAAAAAAAAATTAAAATTAAATCTCAAAATGAGGAAAGGAACAGATTATGTCAATGATAATTTAGGTGGAAAACCTAAGACCAAGTATAAAGGGAATTCTTTCTGCTGTTCAAAATTAAACACAATGTTTTATATTTTTTTTTAAAAAAAAAAAAAAAAAAACACAGACTAGTTTTGTTCCAATCAATAGAGAAGAGTTGATTACTTCTTTAAAATGGATCATTTTTTTAAAAAAAAAAAAAAAAAGGTCACACTTGGAGTGTGTAAAGTATTTTGTTGCCAAAAATACTTTGAATCTGGTTTTTCTCTTAAGAAAAAAATCAGAAATGCTATTAGATTTACTCTATAGCTTTGTAAGATATTTTCTTACAGGGAAAAGTGGTGAGAGATTTAAGTGAATAAAAATGAAATTAGGAAATTACAAATTAAATAAAAAATGTTTCAGTATCTTAGGGGAAAATACTTAACAGTAAGGCTACTCAAAAACGTATTATTTTAAAGAGTTAACTGTTTATTAAAAGATCTCTGCAAGTCCCAACCTCCTCCTATACAAAGTGGGAAGAATTTTTTTTTTTTACCATACATACATCATTATATATATATATATATATATATATATATATATATATATATTCTCTTGTAGCTAAATGCAAATTTTACAATGGATAGACAAGTCTACAGATGAAAAGCAAATCTCAGTTTAACAATTTTTGGTAGTCAAGAATTAAGAATTAAAAATACTTCTAAGTACATAAACTAAATGAATTAATGAAGAATGTAATGGTTTCAAGTTAGGAATAAGGACACTAGATTTTTAATAATAAAAGCTTCAGGAGCCTTTGTAAAATGGTTGTTTTGCCATGGAGAATAATGGAGTCTTAAGAGATACATGCAAGAGCATTTGCAAAGAACGTGTACAAATACTGCTTTGGCACAATGCCGATTCATGGCGCACTCAGACATGAATGAACTCATTAACAATAGCAATGAAACTAGCAATGTCAACCACTTTCCAAGTATATATATAAATATTGGTTATTTTTGACATGTTGATTATATGTGCATGAACTACAGTAAATTTTGACAAATGACAAGTCAACCTATGAAGAGAATATGATGCATGTGTTGGCAGTGTAAGAATTTAATATTTGTTAGTGTGGGTGACACAATCTTGCAAAAGACATGGAAATTCATAAACAATTTTTTTTTTCGGTGATAGATACTTTCTAAGAATTAAACATTAAATTCTTACATTGGCTACTCATACACCACACTCTCTCGTAGGTTGACTTGTCATTTATCAAAATTTACTGCAATTCACACATTAATGAACATAAGCACAAACAACCAAAATAGTATTAACATTAGACAAATTTCAATGTCTCAAGACAGGTAGAAATAGATAAGATCTGTTGCCCAATGCTAATGAATATAGACTTGATGTCTATTTCATTGAATATTTTAAAAAAATAAAAAATAAATAAATTAAAAATTTTGTCAAGACTAGTCTCAAGAAAGATTAAAGAAAAAATTGGCATGGAAAAATATCTTTTAAAGGGTGGTAACTTTTACAATGTCCTGGGTTTCACCAGAATATTAAGGTTTTGTTTTCCAATCATAAAAAAAAGAAAAAGAAAAGAGCGAAGAAAACCTGAATCGTTCACATTGTATTGCAATTATTACTGAAGAATACAAAAAAAAAAAATTCTTTCTGCAAAGACTTAACAAAAATGTTAAGTTTATTGTTTTTACAAAAAGACAAATTGAAAAAAAAAAAAAAAAAAAAAAAAAAAACAAATACAAGTCATACACACTCCCACATAACCCCTTTGCCAACCTAGTTGTCTGCAGTACCATTCAAATATTAACGGGGAGGGAGATGGCAGTATGGGACAAAGTCAATCACTGGGAACTCCATTTTTTTTTTTTTTTTTAAATTTCTTTTCATTAACTGGAATTTTTCAGCAGTTAGTTTTTTTTTCTCTTTCTCTTTTCAAGTGAGGGAGGTTTTAATTTCTTTTTTAAATAAAAATTCTAATAAAATATAAATTTTTAAAAATTTAGGTTCCCATCTCAAAGAAAAATAAAAATTTAAAGATTATCAAAGAAATTCAATTTAACATAAATAAATGTTAGAAAGACCAGAACTTCAGTTTTGTTTGGGCTAGCCAGGCCTTGATTCTAGTTTCATTTTTTTTTTTTTTCTTCTTCAAATTAAGAGATGACAAAATTGTTAAGTGACAAATTGACAGTTTAATCCAGGCTTTATAAAATAAATTACTGCAAAAGAGATTTGAATGTGCCATTTAGTCACAAATAAAGTTTAATTGCTCAGCTCTGTAAGCAATTGCGATAGTTGCCACAAAGAAAACTTAACAGATTGAATGGCACAAATAAAAAAAAATTGTCTGATCAAGTTATAATTTCATTAATGAACAAGCAATTATTATATATAGAATGCCGATCACTAATATTGAAATTTAAACTCTTGGAAATGTCTAAGAAATATATCCAAAAGCTGGAAATAAAATAAAAGTGTATGTGTAATATATATATATATATATATATATATATATATATATATATATATATATATATATATATATATGGGCGGAGGGGGCTTCTTTTCAGTAAATAAGCAAAATATTACTTTGTAAAATAAAATATTGTTTTTTTTTTTCCTGCTATCTTTTTGGATAATTTTTTTTTAATTATTTTATTTTATTGAGAGAGTGAAATTAAGATAGTAAGAACCTCAAAGGAACGCCAAATATTTATAGGATTTGTATGATGAAGTCCAAAATTGATGGGGGGACAGATAAAAGGGGTTAGTCAGCATTTTAAATTGGAAATAAATGACCAATTAACAAAAATTTGAGGAAAAAAAAAATATGATCAAATTTATGGAGCACCCAGTGAGTAACTAGTTCGTTAGCCACAGGTACATGGCAGGTGGTCTGGAGAGATAATTTTAAGTCAGCAGTCTTTTTATAAGAATAAATTTTTTTCAAAGTAAAAAAATAAAAAAAAAATATAAGTAAAAATAAAACCCATAAGTCAGTGCCACGTGTTGACACCGTTGTCATGATGAAAATGAGAGAAACATGGAAGATGACCAATGAGCCCTGTGACCCCTTTCCCTTCCCACCACCAAGGTAAATCTCAGCAGACACAAGCAAAAAACACAGGCTAGTGAAGAGACATAATGTGTAAGTGTGTTGATTATATATTGTGAGCAGTAGCAGTAGATATAGCAAGAGCAATACAAAAGTCTCAAGACAGCACACACTTCTAAGAGAGAAGGAACGGCAGAAGCAATGTCCACTGATGGTTTTAAAGAATGTTTTATTTTGTGGTTCTTGAGTGATTCTTGTTCCGATTTTGCACCCAGGTCTCGCGGCTCTGTCCTGCAATTGTTGTAGCACTAATGCACAGCAAAAGACTGCTGTGAACACAAAGTCGTGACACAACGGAATGCAGCCAAGACTGCGATTGATGCAGCAGCTATCATCGCAATCTAAGCAACAAAGGCATTTGGCGTGGTGTAGTAGTCCATCTTGGTAAAACCTAGTGATGGGGTCACTGCCAATACCACATCCACCACAGCCGCCGCTTCTTTGTTTAACAAGAGCCGCCAGCGAATGCTTGACGGATGTCGAACAAACACCGGCGATTCATTTGTTTTTTGGCTCGTGGCGCTTCATGTGGAGAGCAAGGTGATCTGAACGAGCAAAGCAACGCTCACAAACTTTGCACTTGAATGGTTTAGCGCCAGTATGTTTACGGATGTGTCGAGTCAATTCATCAGAGCGAGCAAAACGCCACTGACAGTTGCTGAAGTGACAGAGATATGGCTTTTCACCTGAAAAGACAGAAGAAAGAAAACAATAAGTTTATTATAACACTAGGCTGAAAGGGGAAAATAGCATTTCACATATCTTCCAAATAGGGAAGAATGAAAACAAAATAAAAAGTTATTTTAACAGACTTAATTATAAAACTTTAGCACAAGCAGAGAAAAGAACTATTTATGATACAGTCCTTAAGCAAAGACCAGATACCTAAGCTTAGTCTAGAAATTTGTTAAGTAGTTTCATTTTAGTCAAATAAGTAAATATTGCTTTATAATTCAAGACTATGAAAAAGTTCATGGTTAACTGATTTTTTTTTTAAAAGAGCTTAACCCTTTGCAGGTTATTTAAAGCCATAAAATATTTATTTTTAGATTATAAGAATTTTGGGGGATGATGATTTCCTAATACAAGTCCTACTAATTAACCCATATCTGGGGGGAGAAGTGGTTGATTCATACCTTTCCCAAGGGTATTTGTGCATAAGTGACTATAATGAACCTGACAGGTATAGAAGCTCAGCACTCTGATGTCCATTTCAGAGCTGTTATCAATCATATCATCTGTACATCCAAGCTTACAGCAATTGGTATTCCCAAGTAGTCACCCATCTAGGTACTGACCAGATCACACCTGATGTTGCTTAACTTCAGTGATTGTACAAGAACTGGTATTTCAGTAGGGTATGACCATATGTCAAAAATCAATGGTCAAACTGACTTGCCAAAAACTGACCAAACAGAACTTTTTAGTGAACCCTTTCTTGGTCTGGGTGACAAGTTTTAAACATCCCATCAGAGGTCAGGAATTCACTATAGTCTAAACTTTATACAACTTTCTAATAAAATATAATTTTTGAATTAATTTAATATCATTAAATTTTCTAACCTTTGGTGGCCAATATTAACATCTTTTTTTCCATGAGATGTATTTATCAACAATTTTAAGTTCAGTTTTTACCTAACATTAATAACAAAAAAAGTATCTAAAAATTTAATTATATACATCTCAAATATTTTGTTAATCAAGTTATTTTCAGACAGGAAAAAGTTCTTAAAGGAATATAAATTTGTAAAATTTTTCTCATTGCTTACCTGTGTGGATTCGTTGATGAGCTTTCAAATGGGAACTCTTTGTGTATGCTTTGCGGCAATCTGGAAAAAACAAAACAAAACAAGAATATTTAGTGAAAAGAATTATAAATGAATTGTCTAAAAACTGTATTGAATAGGCTTAACAATTTCTAGGCTTCATATTGGAACAGTTTGTTTTTTTTTATTTTATTGTCAGCTTAATTTTCATAATACAACATGCTTAAAAGCTCAACATATAATTACTTTTTAGAACAATTTTAACAAAGCCTATAATCACCATGAACATTTGTTTCCTAAAAGATTTTTCTAGAAGCCCAATTAAATCTATTTGTTTGAACGACGCATAAAAACCAATTTTAAACTATCAAAGAAAAATGAGAGCGGACCAAATATTAACTCGATGTGAGGATTTGATAAGTATGGATTGCCTCCCTTGACAGAAAAAACGCGATCTAAAAAGGTTACCTGTCGTAAGCTAATTTTCAGTTAACACAATTTAAAAAGCGAGAAAAATTAATGAATTTAAGAAACAGTGAGGTGATTTTATTTTAAAATTATTAAATCTAGCCATTTTGCTAATTTTAATTCTCAAGAGTCACAATCAAGGGGAAGACGCTTGGAGTGCTCTACTAGTGATATGGCCTCACACCCGACTTAAAATTAGATGTAGAATGATAGCTTGTACTTGTCTCACAGCAAGTCCCATGTGTCATACAAGTCCTATTCTTGTGGTGCAAGTTAGCAAACTAGACTCGTAGGTCAGTTTAGCCTTGTGACAAAAACTAAGCTATACCGCTCTCCAGATAAATACTTTTCTTTATTAGAGCATTTAAGATTAATCTGGATTATCACTTACAAGTTACGTAAGTTGAGAATAAGTCCTGCTACACAAGATATAATTTTTTTTTTCATAAGCACTCTAGAATTTATCAATAACAGAATTAAAATCTAAAGAGGTTATAGGGGTGTCCTGTTTACTACCTAAGTAAATGGAACTCCCTACCGAAGTAAAGGAAAGTCATATCATGCGAGTTCAAATTTTTTATTTTTAATTCATATAATCACTGGAATGCTTATTTAATAATATAGTAATAGGAGAAAAAAATGTTGAAAGATAAATGATTAAAAATGCTACCTGTAAGTTATTTGGAAACTGAGTATTTATCAGTTTATTTTTTAAGGCTTCCATAGCATTAGAACGAATTTACATTGCATCCCTTTTAAACTTTTATAAAAATATAAATCATTCGTGATCTGGAGTACTTTATCTATAATAATTTGAAAAAAAAAAAATGAATATTTCTAGTTGTAGAGCCTATATTAAAATTTGACTTTACAAGTTTAAATTAGAAAAATAAATAAGATAAAAATACTTACTTGGGAAGTCGCAAAAATGAACCCGTCTTTTTTCGAGTTCAGGGTTGTTCTTCCTGTTATATTTTATCGTAGAGCATCCTGGATGTGTTTGGGGAATTTTCTTTGAGACAGTACTCACAGGTGGAACAGACAAGACAGTAGGATTAGACTTCATGTAATGCCTTGCATTACCCGGGTATGGTGGTGGAGGTGTACGGCGAAGTGGGGTGTCCTGGTTGGGACTAGCAGGCTGTGAGTTTGGAGGTGTAGGAAAGATAGGACCAATCGACGATGATGACGATGACGAAGAGAGGGACGATGATGAAGACAAAGATGAATTGGAAGAGGATAAAGAGGTAGTTGATGAAAAGTTGGATAATGTTTGGGTATAGGACAGGGGCATTTGCTGAGAAATACCCACTGGCCCTTTAGTCCGATGACCAAGGGGGTCACTGAGGTTGGGTTTTGCGTCCACGATGCAGGGGAGACGATTATTCTGTTCGTACTTGCAGGGTGGGATAAGAGAATTAAACTGGCACGCCGGCTTGGACCAGTCATTGTCCTGCGGCTCACATTTAATACGAGCTGCCATATCATCTTTCATGCCGTCTTGGGAAGTGACCAGGTGCATGCCGACGCGAATGTCATCCCACATGGCCTTATTCCTCTCACTGGACATATCTAGTTCATGAGTCTCCGGGGGGAGAGCGTAAGCATCACAGATCATGGAGTCAACGTCAAAGTCTTCTGGCTCGACCTTTATATGAGAAGAAAAATCATCCCATTCCATGTCCCTCCGACCTTCGTCTGTCACACAAATGTTGATCTGCGACTGTTGTTGGCCGTTGTGCTGGACCATATGGCTCGTCGGCGCCATAGTGCCAATGTTTGATGAAATCCGGGGAGTCATCAAGTTTGTGTACATGTTGTTAGAGCTGCCCAACAGACCAATTCGTAGGTTGTTGGTGTTGCTTAAAATTGAAGGTTTTAGCCCACCATCCTCGTTAAAAAATTCACCGACCACTGAAGCGCTATCACGCCTTTGTCGTTTTCGAAGGGCTGGGGATGATGGAGCTGGTGATAGGAGATACTGGTCCAGATCAGTGTCAGTCTGTAAAAGAAAAAAAGAAATTCTAGAAACTGCAGGCAAATTAATGAAATTAAAACAAACATTAGTCACTAAAGAAACAAATGCAAAATTATAAAAAAAAGAAAACAACTGTCTGTGCGAACAACCCCTTTCCTTATAGATGGAATTTAAATCTATTCTAAAAACTAAAAAAAAAAAAAAAAAGTCATTTATGGTTCACAAGTGTAATGAGTACCCGCTGATTTTTGTAAACGAACCAAGCTATTCTGAGAATTCCACACTAGTCGACAAAAATACTGACAATTTCTTATTTGCTTAGAACCAAATTTTTAAAAAGAAAATCCGTCAAAAAACCCCCCAAAAAACAAAAACTAAGCATTTGCTACTTTTAACTAAAATTTAAGTTATGACCAGTTGCTTTTTATAAGTCACAAATCTGTAAAAATAAAATACATGCTAAGTACAGTTAACAATAACATTAACTAGTTAAAAGAAAATAAAAAAAATAAAGACCGGATTTAGTTTAAATCTCACGATCTTTGAGAAAAATAAGTGATCGAATCGTGACATTACTGCACACACACACACACACACCAGCCAAAATGGACCAACTACACAGTAAATAAAAGAAAACTAAAAGTAAAAAGCTTCAAGCGAGAGACTTTTATCGAATCGAATATATATTTGTTGACTATACGATGTTTAAGAGTGATTTTTTAAACGGACCTTGGAAGTTATTTGGGAAAAAAGAAAATCACAGGTAGGATGGATAAAAAAAAAGTATAGTAATACTAAACTTTAAATTTGAATATTTGTCTGAAAAGATTAATTTTTAATGTCTCAAGTTTTATCAAGACACTGAGGGGAAACCAACTGAAACGTGACTAAGAAAGTAAGTGTTACTTATTTTAAAAAAAAAAAAAAGTGTCGTTCATCAATAGCATTCTTATATATCTAACAAAAATTAAGAGCCAACACTTTGAATAGAAAAGATTTGAATATATTGACTTTTTGATGGTGTATAAAAATTAAAAAAGTCTTCATTTTTATATTTTTTGTCCGTTTTTAACGTAGATGCACAATTTGTGAGTGCGTGCGTGTGTGAACAACAAATACAGCGCTTTTATTTATCAGTGTCTGCCTGGTCGTAAAAATAAGGTACTTCGTCATATCACAGACGACGGATTTCTTTATTAAGGAAATAAAACTATTTAAAGAAATCCCAAGTGTAAGAGAAAAGAAAACTAAAGTCGAGTAGATAAAAACTTAAAAACTTTAATTTCGTTGCTCGAGGCAGAAGAAAATTATTCCCGATCCTATTCTAGCCTAAAAAGTGAAAGGCCGGAAAAAAAAAAAAAAACTTCCTGAAGACAACCGTTTCTGTGTTAATTTCGGAAGAATACTTCTAATTTTTCATAAAAATAATCTAAAAAAATAACATCGTTTAGTAGTGATCTCTAAATTTAAACAGCAAACTGAACACGATCGCTTCTGTCATCACGTGTCTTTCCAGAAATCGTAAAATCAAGTTATCATCTTTTAGTTTTAACTTTACTAATGTTTAAAAAAAACAGATATTTTCTATTGATTTATGAAATTTCTTTCGTCACTTATGAAAATAAACTAGTTTTTCAATCAAATATAAAAAAGAAAATAATGTCATTAACCTCAATTTTTTTAAAAAATGGTCGGCAAGCGGAGGAGGATCGAACTTATCAGTTCAAATAGCTTGCTAACCGTCTCCCACGGTAAAATGCCTCACAAATGCACTTAAATACCCGCATTCTATCAAGTGAGCTACGCCTATAAGTCGTAAAGTTTAAAATTTGTCAGTAAAGTTCTAAATTTTTGTCATAACAAAAAGCAATTGTTTTTAAGAAATGTCTCATCGTTAAACCGGGAGAAGAAACATTCATCAGTTTTTTAAAACAAAAAGTTTGGTAAAAGTTTCAGGAATAAAAGTTCCTGTAGTAATAATCAAAAGTAGTTTGTTAAAATTTACATCTGCCTAAAAGTTTTTGAGAAAGACAGGCTACTTTATCGCAGATCTTAAAAAAAAAAATATATTTCCCGAGTTTGATGACGCCACTATAGATTAAAAAAAAATTAGCGAAAATAAAGACAAGGGAATGACGGAATGAGTATATAAAAAAAAACTAATTTGTTTAACCCCATCGTAGCAAAATTAATGTTAACTAACTGTGACTGAATATTTTCTAAATTAAATTGTAATAAGTAGTTAAGAAAAACGTTAATGAAACGAGCCTCAACCTTACCCTGGGTGACAAAAAGTGAGGGTGGGGAAGAAATAGAAATCACTCAAGATTGACTTAATTTCTTTCTCGTCTTTTCCCTATGGAAATAAAAAGAAAATGAGAGAAATGGGCAGCTGTCCACGTGGCTTCTACCCTCTTTAGTCTACCTCTTCTAGTCTCGTTGTCACACTGTAACACGCTCCAGTGATTTCCTTTCACTCACCGCTTAAAATAGAAACTGACGTCATGTATAAATAGTACGTGACGTCAGCAAAGGCTCAGCCAATCAGCGTTAGCCAATTTCACTTTTTGTGAAAGAATTTCCTTTTGCACATGGCACTAAGGACGGTTTTTTTGTTTTTTTAACATTTTTATTTTTAGGCTTTTTTTTTTTAGTTTTTTTTAAAGCAAATTCATCCGCCCTCACTTTCTTTTTTCTTTTTACTCGGCGTGTCTTCAAAGCCCTGAGGGCTACCCAAGAAAAGAAGAATAAAGATACGCATAAAATAAGTAAAATGAAAAAGAAAAAGACGCTGCTCATTAAAAAAAACCGGAAATGAATCTTATTTTAAAATGATTCAATCATTCTTTTTCAATGAATCGATCACATATCCATTTCCCCACCTAACTTGGTCAATATATAGAACAAGGGGCATCAAATGTCATTATTGATATGTAAGACGATTGACAACTTTGAATATGAAACAAAGTTGATTTGTTTTTTTCGTTCTTTTTTTTTTTTTTACTTGTCATCAGTGACAAAAGAATAAACACATTATGAGCAACTAAATTTTCTTTAGTAGTGTAGAAAGTAAAGAAATCCGATTAGTAAATAATAAAAGCAAAATTAAACAAATTAAAAAGAGTTAAGAAAGAGAGAGAGAGAGAGAGAGAAGGCAGTTTAAGCAACTTTTCCACGAATGTCAAACCGGATATAAATTGCTTTTAGTTTTTAAAACCATGGCGTAATTATTTTTATGACTCTTTCTTCAGTTAAACTGAGAGTTCATAATTAAAAAAAAAAAAAAAAAAATCAGAAAAACTTCTTTTTAAATAAGTTCATTATATCTTGATTCTTGATAAAAAAAAATATCCCGTGTGTGTGTGTGTGTGTGTATGCGCGTGTGATACACTACTTGTCATTAAAGATCATCAATCAGTAAAACTATTGTACAAGTTTTTTTTTTTTTTTTTTTAAGAAAAACGGAAAAATACTGCACTGAAGTTTGGGAACTTTAAAGTAGTTAGTACTATTATTACTTACTACTTACTACCATTACTTTTTAGATCCGTGAATTTTCCTAATGGACTGACAAATTTCATGTCATGGTGACACTTGCTGGTCAATGGTCCTTTCCCCACACTTTTATCTAGTTAACTGAGAAATAATTTAAATTGAAATAAGAATTATCACTGAATGTTAAAAAATGATCAAGAACAGTAAAAAAAAAAAAAAAAAAAAAAAAACAATTGTTTTCTTTCATTCACTTTTTCGTTTGTTTACTCGTTTAAAGTTTGATTTTAACAAAAAATATTTACAGTGAACAGGACCAAATTTCATTAATATTAGGAATAGTTTGCAGCGTAGTTTATGAAAATGCTGGAGTTTCATTCAACGTATTTTTACGTTATCTTTCACTTTCAATAGTAGAATTAAATAGCAGTACGAACATATCTCTGCCAAATCCTTGAAGCCTAAGAAGAGCAATTATTGGTTTTACTATTGCTGTAACTAGTGATAAAAACAATGAAAATCCTTCGATTTTCTGAAGTATATCATTTCCTGATTATGTATCAATGTTGTTGAGAGTTCGATGAATGATCGAGTTTGTTTTTAAAACGATATACAATTTCGATCAACACTTTTCGACGTGAACCTTCTTTTGTTCAGTGAATGAATGCCGTAATACTACTGTACATGATCAAAAAGATCCCAAATGTAGAAGTTTTTTTTTTTTCTTTTTTTTTTTTAATCATCTGAGAAGGTAAAAAGATTTCCAACATCAAGAGAAGAAAATGATCAGTCGTTTAAATGTATCCGGGTTTGTTTGTTTTTTCATTTGTTTTTCGTGTGTGCATAATTCAAATGATTTTTTTCCTTGGGTGATTTGATAGAGTAAAAATGGTTAAGTTAATGAAAGAAAAGAAAAAGGACGTTCATAAACTAAAATTAAAAGAAAAACTTTTTAAAAAAGTACATGTCAAAAAATCAGATACTTTTGTCATCATGGTTAGGAATAAAAAAAACTAATTGATAAATGAAACGAGAAAATGAATAAAAAAATGAAAAGTTTCTTTTAGTGGTAGTGGGGGGGGTGTTGATGGATATTATTATTAATTTCAATTAAATAAGTTCACTTACGTAAGTTGTCCAGTTGGACACAATGTTCAAACTACCGTCAGCTGAAGGCAAAGTAATGTCTTTGTCTGGGACTATTTGGTCTTCGAACCGGGTGTTCTCAATTATTGCAAAATTCTCAGCCATTCCAAGTAAAACTTTCTGTTTTGGTGTTTTATGGTGTAACGACACCAACAAGGTAAGTGAAGTTTCAATAAAAGAAAAACTTGTAGTTTAAGAAATGAAGTTGAAAAAATAAAAAAAAAACGTCGCAAGGGATCTGTTTTTTAAACAAAGATCCCTTTTTTTTTTCAAAAAAAGGTTATTTCTAATATTCAAATGTACATCAACAGTAAGAACAAAATTAGATCCAAGTTAATATAAGCGGCTCTTTTTCTGAATTGAAAAAATAGGCAAAAAGTTGACAAATGTGTATCAGTATCCGACTTTGTTTTTAGTGTGTTTTCCTTTTTTTATCGCGTAGTGGCTCGTGCCAAGCAGGCAAAAGTTTTGATTCACTTTACAATGAGTGTCCATTTATATAGATACGAAGCCGGTGACGTCACATAGGATTTATAAAGAGGGGAGGAGCTTACCCCCCTCTCTCACGTTAGTTCAGATTTTCTTGTCTATTTTAAAACATCTTTCTTTCCACTTATTATTTCGTTTATATTTCCTTCCCCCCTCCACTTGTCATGATTTTCATGTTTTTTTCCATTTACAATTTATTTCGCTATTAGTATTACACACACACATACATACACACACACACACACACACACACACACAAACACACACGCACACACATATATATATGTATATATATATATATATATATATATATATATATATATATATATATGTGTGTGTGTGTGTGTGTGTGTGTGTGTGTGTTATTTTAAATTTGTGATTTGTTTTTTTTTAATTTTTATTTGCGTTCCATGCTCTCAACTACGATACTTTTCTTTAATAAATAAACAATCAATTTCACATTTCTTTCTCCCCTCGATAATCATTTAATTATTTCATCAGCTTTTTTGAAGTCAATTTTTGTTTCGCTTTCTGATGAGTCATTTCTTTACTTTTTAAAAAGTTTTCTTTAATTTAATTTTAAACATACCAACGAATTTAATTTAATTAAAAAAAATAAGATCACGAACGAGAAATCTTCGTGTTTTGAAGAATAATAATTAAATTTAAATTATAATATTCTCTCTCTACAAATACAGGAAATACAAAATAATGTTATAGTTCGGTGTAGAGAGAGTTTCATCCAATAAAAGTGAAATATTATCAGATTTTTAATTTTCTTTAAAAGAAAAAAGAATTTAAAAAATCGATTTCGATAATGTATTGTAAAATATGCCATGGAAGTAAAAAAACAAAACAAAAAAAACAAAACAATAAACAACTACTTTTAAAATTTTATTTCTGTTTTACTTAGAATTTAAAATTGAGATTTGGAACCTTTCATAAGTATTTCTTATATACTTTTTTTGTATGAGAATGAATTTAATTAAAAATATATATATATAAAAATTGCGTGTGCGTGTGTGAAAGAGAGAGCGAGAGAGAGAGAGTAAGTGAGAGAGAGAGGGGGTAAAGAGAGAAAGTGTGTTTTTTGTTGATAATACTATCTTTTATTTCTAGTATATACGATTTTCTGTGTCCGTGTGTTCGACTGTAGATACGTAAAAAGTTTCAAGCAGAAAATTGGTATATAAATTATGTGTGTGTATGTGTGTGTGTGTGCGCGTGTGTTGATATGTACACGTTCTTAACATTTGACTGTATGTGTAAGTTTAAAACTTGTGTACATTTGTAACTGTATAAAAATACTTAAGATGCGAGTGTTTACTTTGATGTTTATGTTTGAATGTGTCCTTGTAAAATGTTTTGAGCGTGTGTATATTGTCTCCATGTCTTTTTCTATTGGTGTGTGTGTGTTTGTTTGTATGTGTGTGTGCGTATAAGCGACATGTTGAACTAGTTTTATATAACAAGTGATACGTTACTTATGACGTCATTTTGTTTGGAAGACCTCGTTTGATACTTTACACTGCTTTTAAAATGCGTTCAACTAGAAAAAGAATGAATTTATTCACGAACACTTACTTTTATTTATTTATTTTTTTAAATTGAAATTATTTGTCTTATCTTTATTTTTAGAGATTGACTCGTTTCTTTCGTCACCAAACCGTAGAAAACTGCTTGCTTTCAGAAGAATCATTTGCCAGTTTATAAACTAAAAAAGTATTTTAAAAAAAAAGAAGAGAAAGGTATTTTTTTAGAAATAATTTTAGAGAGAGACAAAGACTAAAAAAAGAGAAGAAATAAGACAAATCGATAATACTGCAATAAACAAAACACCTTTCTAGATAAATAAAAATAATGTTAAAGTGACAGTAAAAATTTACACTCTAACTCTAAAAGAGCCTCGTTGTGGTGCAATAAAGAGTTTGTATGGTAGATTACAGATTCAAAATCATGTCGCGAGTTCGATCCTTACTGGATGCCCTTTCTTTACTTGGTGACGTTGTGCTATGAATATTTCAAGAATCTCCCTTAAAAGTCGGTATATGTGTGTATTATTTCTTTCTCATGTTAATGCGTAGTAAATTTTTTTTTTACGGTCCTCACTACACTAACGGATATAAAAACAAAAGTTTAGGTAGGAGTTCATCGTCATGTCAGGTGTCTATTTATTTATTTACGACCGTCTTACTATGTCACATGAGAGATTATTTATTTTGTATTCGTAATTTTGTATCCCAAGTGTAAAAAAAATGGAAAAGAAATTTAAAAATGTTAACATTTTTGTAATTAGAAATTCTTAATTTTAAAATGAAAATGTAAGAAGGGGAACTAATTGTATCACGATGGGTGTGTGACTTTAAACGATACTTTCTCTCTATCTTTCTCTCTCATATGTGCGTAAATGAATGGTTAATCTCTGTTTATCTATCAAATTTTGAGTGTTGATTGACTTAAAGGAACAAAAATATATATATTGTAAATGTAAACACTTTCTTTATTTTAACATTTTTTAATGTTTTCTGTATCATGTTACATACACAAGTGCACATTTATTTGTGTGTGTGCGTGTGTGTGTGTGTGTCCGTTCATTTAAGTTCTTTTTCTCTCTCTTACCGTCTCTGTGTGTGTGTGTGTTTGTATGTTTGCAGTTCTCCCAAGTAAATGTGACAGTTTCTTTTCGCGCGAATTAATTCAGTATATTATTCATTCTCCAGTGATCTATCTCGCTTGCTGATCACTTTCGTTTGTCTATTTACGACGTGGATATCTGTTTTGTTTTTGATTTTTTACTAGGTCTCCGTTTTTTTTTCTTCTGATATTAAAAGTGTTTTTTTTTAACCTATCTTCTAAAAATGTTCAACATTTCTCTCTTCCTTGTATATATGTAGATATCCATGTATGTATATTGTTGTTATTGTTGTATATGTATTTTACCATTCCTCTTCTTTTCTTTTTCTTTCTTTAAATCTAAAATGCGTTTCTTTCTTCCTCTCTTTTTCTGATCGCGCGCTTATGACTTATTGTGTTTTGTTGTTTACGACTCTGTCATCCTTACTATCTTCTTTACCCTTTCTTTTTTTTTCTTCTTCCTGACTTTTGGGGGGGCTTTATTGACAGTTCTTTTAAGCGGGATCTTTTTAACCGGGTGTTTTCCAACTTTGCGAACAGTTTCTTTTCTCTTGCATTCCTCGTTTATTTTTTTATTTTATTTTATTTTTATTTTTTTTTACAAAGGCTACCTTGATCTAGTTAATCTTTTTTTGTTGTTTTTTTTTTCTATTGACAACGTCCATATTTTAAATTTTTTTTTTTTTTTTAAGTTTAAAATACATTTATAGGGACATTTACTTTTTTTTAAACATAATATCTCTGCTATCAGTCATTTACTCCACTAATCTACAGGGAGACCATTGCAAAAATGGCGCTTTATTCAAAAAGGGTAACCAAGATAACACATTTTTTAAATTTTTTCTGATATTGTATTTTCTTAACGGGTGCTAATATCAATTATGAGAAACGGTAGAAAGTGTATGATGTAGGATAATGACATGAAGTTCAATATTTTAAATTTTAAATCTGTTTTTGTCTTTTGAGTAAGATTTTCATTTTTTCATACAGTTAATTTAGTTTTTTATTTTTCTAATAAATACATAGTTACTCTTATCTTTGTGAAGAGCCTAAAATCGGTGTCCTTTCCGAAAGACATGATCGACCTTTGAGTTTTATCGATATTTTAAATTTAATTTAACTTACACGTTCGCACAGCAACCATGGTGTCACAAAATAAAAAGCGGGGTATCAGATGTTACGTTTTTTACTTTTAAAGAATTCTGATTAAAATGAATGTTTTTTTTTTTGTTTTATATATCACTTATCCGTCTATAAGGGTTTTGTTTGGCTTTGGTTTTACTTAAACAAACAGTTTTTTTTTTTTTTGTTTTCTGTTTGTAATTTATTTTGGGGAATTATTAAGTTTACCGACTTTTCCGCTTATTAGACTTGTATATATAGAAGTTTTAGAGAAGCTATTTTTTCGGAAAAAAGAGCGAAAAAAAGATTGAAATTTTATAATGTATTTTAAAAGTTAATGGCAATACTGATTTTAGAGAAAATGATACAACTCAGATCAATAACATTGTTACAGATAATGTCGAAGAGGATAAATTTATTCTTTTGTTTAATTCAAAGTTTTTAAGAAATGAAAGTAAGAGTTGCTAATTGATTTGCGGCTATGTAGTACACTCAAAATTGTTAGTTTTTATTATATTTTTGTAAAGAGTTTTTATTTTTAATATATGATCTCCAGTAGATATTTTAAAAAATGCTTTATTTACATCACACACAGAGAAAGAGAAAGAGAGAGAGAGAGAGAGAGTATATTCTGTTTTTAGTGTTTGTACTGATCGACTTTTTTTATCTTGTGTGCGCTAACGTAACAACTATGACTCACTCACTACCAACAAATAAATGATTAAACTTGTTTTAATGTGATCAGTCATTCATTTATCTAAGATCGATTTTACGTGAGCCAATGTCAGGCGATTTGTACGGAAGATATATGATCTTGCTTACGAGAACGGACGATGCACTGATTGTGTGTGTGTGTGTGT